GGGAGGGAGCGGGGTAGTGGGATTAGTTTGGGGATTGATGCGGGACACTGGGTTTAGATTGGGGATTGATACAGGGCTAGCAGGCAGTGGGATTAGTTTGAGGAAGGATACAGCTGTATGGGATTGGGCCATGTGAGATGCATCATCCCTGGACAGTGTTCCTATATGATGTTGTCTACTGTGGGTCCCCCATGTCCTGAAGGCCAGTTGTGCTTTTGGCTAGTTGCAGGTGCCGCCTGTTATGCCCACATCAAATTAATTGAAAGGAAAGTAGGGTGCCTGCTATTAATGGGATCTTGCTATGCACCCGATGGCCTCTGCCTTTGATATGATCATTAGCAGCCTCTCTCGTGATGCTGGGCTGGAGGCAGAGAGCTTGATGTGTGTTTGGTAGCTGTTCTCACTCGGCTGAGTCTGTTGCTCCTTTCAGCCTTGATAAATGACCCCAGGCCCTGGCTTTCTGTTATGTGTGTGCAGCCCTGCCCTCTCCTCGCTCCCTTTTAAGGTGGAGGAGGAAACGAGTTAGCAGGAGACTGATGCTGTTGCATCTCAGTGATTAGTCGTAGTGACATTTTTTGCAGCCAACTGTACCTGCCCAAGCCTGACCGGGGACTCTCTGCAACACCCAGCCAGTGTTGCAGCAGGGTTGTTAGCACAGTGTCTGTCGGGTGCTAGGATCAGTTCCCTGGTATAGTCTGTGATAAGAAGCTTCCTATTCATCCTGTCTCCCACATCTACCCTTCACTGTTCTCTCCCTGTCACCTCGTGTAATGGGGAATGCAGCCTATAGACTAGGTCCCTTCATATTTCAGAGTCATGGGTTCAAAGCCATGGAAATCTGGGGAATTTAAATTCAACCCAAACCACACACCTGGAATAAATGTTGTGAACTATAAACATGAGGTTATCAGTATTCAGAAAAAAGGCCATTTGGTCCCTCTAGCCTGCTGTGCCATTCGATAAGATCAGCCCTGACCCGACTATGGGCCTGACTCCATCTTCCTGCTTGTCCTCCCTAAGCCTCCACTTCATAATCGATCAAAAGTCTTGTCAAGCAATATAACCTCAGGTTTGTCATAAAAACTCCTCAGGGTCATTTTTTTTAATCCATTAACAGTATGAGGGCGTTGCTGGCCAGGCAGCATTTATTGCCCATCCCTAATTGCCCAGAGGGCAGTTAAGAGTCAACCACATTGCTGTGGGTCTGGAGTCACATGTAGGCCAGACCAGGTAAAGATGGCATTAGTGAACCAGGTAGGTTTTTTCCGACAATTGACAATGGGTTCATGGTCATCATTAGATTCTTCATTTCAGATTTACATTGAATTAAAATTCTACCATCTGCTGTGGCGGGATTTGAACCCAGGTCCCCACAACATTACTGCGGTCTCTGGATCAACAGTCCATTGATAACACCAGTAGGCTGTCACCTCTCCATTTATTTCACTAACCTCTGGAATAAGCAGTTTGCCTCATGAGGAAAGGCTGGGCCTGTATCCTTTGGGGTTTCGAAGAGTCAGAGGTGACTTAATTAAACCACAGACGATCCTGAGGGAACTTCACAGAGTGGATGTGGAAAGGATGTTTCCTCCTGTGACGGAATCCAAAACTAGAGGGTCATCGTTTAAACATACTTTAAACATCAGGAGGTGCTCATTTAAGACAGAGATGGGGAAACATTAGTTTTGTCTGAGGTTTGAGAGTCTTTGGAATTCCTTTCCTCCAAAGGCAGTGGATACAGGAATTTAAATATTTTTAAGGCAGAGGGAGATCGATTCCTGATGTCCAAGGGGATGGAAGATTTTTGGCATTTATGAAGGAATATAGAGTTGAAGTTAAAATCAGATCAGCTACGATCATATTGAATGACAGAGTAGGCTCGAAGGGCCGAGTGGCCTCCTGGCTTCCTCCTGTTCCTTGTTCATAATGTCCTTCAGGGGGTGGGAATGTGCCATCCTTACCTGGCCTGGCCTACCTGTGACTCCAGACCCACAGCAATGTGGTTCACTCAACTGCCCTCTGAAATGGCCCAGCAAACCATTCAGGCCAAGGGCAGTTGGGGATGGGAAATGAATGTGCCCAGCCAATGATACCCACACCCTGAGTGGGAAACAGACAGGCACAGGGGCATGGGCCATTTAAACTGATCGAGTAAAAAGTTTTCACCTTTTCTTGCAGCGGTGTCGTGTCACCATGCAGACTGTGACCTGAACCTGCAGGATACAGGCAGCAGCAAGAACACAGCGTGTATGGACTGGGTGGAGGGCCAGAGCCGTGCTGGGTCCGGGGCTGATAGCGCTGCCTCCCTCGAACGGGGGGACCAGTTAATTGCAGTGTCTCCTGGAGGGAGCAGCCAGCTGTGACACAGACTGACTGATGGACCCCACTCTGCAGATAGCTGCAGCCTCTGAGGGGGACTTGGAAACCTGATATAAAATGAGCAGTGAATGTAAAGCTCCTGCCAGATCTTGCAGTGATGACCCTGCACACAGGCTGTGAATGTGCCAAGGATGGAGAGAGAGAGAGAGATGGGAGTACAGTCCACCAGTGGCTTCAAGATCTGTTTCAGCCGATAACTCCAAAAGGATGGACCCAATCCGGCACAGTGAGGCAACAGGATTAGCAGATGGTACTCTGAAAAGGGCATGTGATTAAAGGAGGGGGTGTCTGCATGATGCCCAGAGTTGGAGCTGGCTTTCAGATAGGGCCCTGACTGAATTATTGTCTTTGCTCACCTCCCTGAGCGTATGGCACCATATTGTGCACCCTGTGCTGCACATACTCACTGAGACACACTCCGTTTGTTTTGTACAGGAATGTCGCACTGTAACATTCAGTGTACTACATACAATAAGATGTGCAATTTCACAGATTCAACATCCTAATGATAATGTCTGGGTTTATTTGAAGATCCTGTATGAGATGACACCAGCCTTGTCTGTGTGTGATCGGTCTCCTTACTCAGCATTGATCCATCACTGCAATGGGAGAATCCATCACAGGGGTGTTTTCGCCAGTAGCTCCTGGTGTGGTGTATGATATATATCGTGTTATACTGAGTAGCACACAGTTTATTATATAATTGATAACGCATCATGATACATCTCATTCGTAATGTTTGATCATTCCTGTGAAGCTGTACTCCTGTCGAAAGGGTGTTGTGAAGATCGTTATGAATTCAGAACTATCTCCACATGTCCATCCTGTTTCTGTGCTGTCAGACCTTTCTGTTCTAGTGGGGAGTTGTATTAGTGTCTGTTTCTGTCGCAGCTCCCTCTCACACCTCATCTTATGCTCACCTTTTATCCCAAATTACTCAAGATGCTTGCTAGAAAAGATGTGAAACTTCTAACATGCTCAATACATTTTTAAACAACAATTTTAAATGTAAATATTTAGGTATATCTAAACTGTATGGTGAAATGTATTCATCGGATTGCCTTTTATGCTTTCATTAAATTTTTTACTGGCAGTTTCATTCTTCTGTCTGTGTTCCCACCTCTGTTTCTCTCAGAGACTTCGCTTACCCTTGGAAACCAAATCACCTCGAAATGTGGTAAGTCAGTCTTTCTGTATCCATTTTAATAACAGCTTGCATTTGTATAGCACTTCAAATATGTTTAAGAATGTTCTCAGGTGCTCCACAGACATGATCAGACTGAATTTGACACCGAGCAGGCTCAAGGAGATACAAGGGCAGATGACCAACAGCTGTTCAAAGAGAGAAGTTTGAAACAACAGTCTTCAAAACCGAGCGAGAGATGGTGTTAATGGAGGGAGATCAAAGATTAGGGATGAGGGGAGGAGTGTAAGGGCTGGAGGAGGTAACAGGTAGGGAGGGGAGTGTAGGGGCTGGAGGAGGTGACAGAGATAGGGAGGGGTATAGGGGCAAGAGAGGGTGACAGAGATAGGGAAGGGGTGTAGGGGCGGGAGGGGGTGACAGAGAAAGGGAGGGGGTGTAGGGGGGGGGGTATAGAGGCGGGAGGGGGTGACAGAGATAGGGAGGATGGGGTGATGGAGGGATTTGAAATGAGAATGAAACCTCTGCAGACCAGGAACCATATGGATCAGTGAATCCTGTGGCTGGCAGGGAAACAGAATGTGGCAGTGGGCATTTGGATGATTTTTAATGTCCAAATGATGGCCGAGTGAGAGACAGCATATGAGAGCAGTGGCCTGGTGGGTCTGGAGGTGATCAAGTTATGGATGATGGTTTCAGCCTGCTGATGTGGCTGGAGGTGATGGGACAGCTCTCATCGTGGGAGCAAGCAGAACGCTGATGTTGCACGTGGCCAAGTCAGCTTCACCAGTGTCCAGGGAGAGGGATGGAGTCAGTGGGTGCTGAAGGACATTTGTGGCTAGCACATGGAGGTGAATGGTGGTCTCTGTATTGGGAGTTCTCCTCCAGTACAGAATGTCGAATAGATCGGAGACAGTGGAGGAGTTGGTCGAGGGGTTGGTGGACTACAGCTGGGTGTGAGTGGATCAGCTGATCTCGCTGAGGGTTTTGTGTAAATGAGAAATAGGAACAGGTCAGGAATAGATCTCCAAGTGACACTTGCGAAACTGCAGGAGCAGCCTGATGTGTAGTCGGGTAATTCTGTTTCTGCCCTTGGACAGGTCAGAGTGGAAATTGACCTCTTTTCTAAACAAAAACTTAATTAAAAACTACAGTACCTGGATAAATTTGCTTGAATGAAACTCCTGAAATTTGACCTGTAGTTCTCCTCAACATTCCTGGACCCTGGGGAATTAAAGAAACTGCACATTAGTATTGAAACACTGGGCTGAAGGGCCTCTTTACTGTATGATTCTACAAAGCAGATGCTGCTCACAACGGTGCCCCTAGTGGAGGCAGTCACATTGCAGTGTGATGTGTTTACATAGACAATTACCCTTATGAACATGGGCATCCATGTTACAAACCAGTCATAAGGACAAGGAGGATAACTCAAACACAGGGGCATGGCACAGCCTGTGTCGCTGTGGATTTACCTTGCATCACCTCAACACCATCAGACAAAGGAGCAGAACTAGGCCATTCAACCCATCGAGTCTGCTTCACCATTCAATGAGATTGTCACTGATCTGATCATCCTCAAATCCACTTTCCTGCTTTTTCACCATAACCCTTCACTTACTGACTAATTGAAAATCTATCCATCCACCTTGAATGTACTTAACAGTCCAGTCTCATCAGCCCACTGTGATAAAGAATTGCACAGATTCGCTTGTCTCTGACAGAAGAAATTCATCCTCCTCTCTGTCTGAAATGGGGGAAGATGATTCCCCCGGTCCTAGACTCTCCCACAGGGAGAAACAATCTCTCCACATCTCCCCTGTCAAGCCCCCGAAAAATCTTGTATGTGAGTTATGCACAGGGTCTCCCAAATATGTCAATGCTGCCAGTTTGACAGTAATCTTTCTCCATTTATATAATATTCAGCTCCTCTATTCTTCCTGCTAATGTGTGTAATCTCTCACTTTCCCACATTATATTCCACCTGCAAAGATTTTGCCCATTCCCTTAACCTGTCCATATCCCTCTGCAGTTTCTGTAGCGTTCTCCCCACTTGCCTTCCCAACTCCCTTACCTCATCCAAATCATTCAAAGAACAAAGAACAGGAACTGGCCCTTCGACCCTTCGAGTCTGCTCTGATACATGATGCCTTTCTAAACTAAAACCTTTTGGCTCCGTGTGGTCATATCCCTCTATTCCTTGCCTGTTCATGTATCTGTCAAGATGCCTCTTAAATCTTAAACATTGCTATTGTATCCATCTCCACTACCACCTCTGGCAGTGCATTCCAGCCAATTACCACCCTCTGTGTAAAAAAAAATCTGCCTCTTACATCTCCTTTAAACTTGCTCCTTTTTGAGCCGATGTCCCCTAGTAATTGACACTTCTACTCTGGGGGAAAAAAAGACTCCAACAATCCATCCTATGCATATGACGTCAGATTATAGTCCAACAGGTTTATTTGAAATCACAAGCTTTCATAGCACTGCTCCTTTGTCAGATGAAGTCACTGGAGGTCTGAGATGGACAGTGTCTGCAGAGACTCCATGTACAAAACTGTAGATAATGGGGTGTGGTTAGAGGAAAGTACCCGATGCTGCCCTCAGCCTGATGACCACCTTTGTGTGCGGCTGCATCATGCTGTGCATAGACCCTCAGTACGCAAACACCAAGTGCCACTATGTATAGAGGTTCGAACTGTCCTTGGTGTTGTGAAGGGTGGGACTGGTCAAGTAGTTGAAATGTTCCATGTCACCTGTCCTTTGGAGAGAAATTTGCAAAGGAAAATGCCTTTGACCATAGGTCCATCAGGAAGTGGTCAATATGTAGTGTCCTTCAGACCCTGTGGGAAAAGGAGAGGTTGGATCCTGTCGCATGGTTCCCTGAGCAGACTATCAAAGTCACTTGACAGAATGTGTCATCACCAAAATTTTCCAACAAGCACCAAGATATCACTTGGCTGGTGGTGAGAAGGGCTCTACCCATCAGATCCTGGGCACTCTGCGCCACCGCATGCTGCCCTGGAAGTAGCTGCTGGGATGGAGGGTTTGAGACTGTCATGTATCTCCTACTGGAATGGGCCTTGGAGTGGAACTCTGGAGAAAGATACAATGGTCTTTGTCAAGGTTCATCCCGAGCAGCGCCGTGATATGGGCCTTTGTGCTCTACAGTCTGTTCCCCTGGATGCACACTGCAACAAACATCGACTATACCTGGAGGACCATCAACTCAGTGAAAGATGCTCTTTGGTCAGCCTGAACCTTGTTCGCCTTCCAGAGCAAGGAGTTGACCCCAACTGAGTGTTGCAGACTGGCACGTTCCAAGGTTCAGGACTACATGCTGAGCGACGCACTAAAGCTTGGGGCAGCTGCTGCTAAGACACAGTGGGGAAAGATCACTGTCTGAGGCCTTCCTGCTGAAGATAAATGGGGTCCCTTTCATTTATCGGACCCTCCTAGTTCCTCAAATACAAGTGAATAAAGTCTTGTATGTGTAAGAGATGTATGGTTTGTTTGGATAGAATCAAACTCCAATATTGTTTGTTTCCTTGATGTACTACTGTACAGAACTGAACTGCATTTGTGATTATGTACAGAAATAAATATTTTTTATGAATAAAGTATATTTTTGAAATAAAAAAAATTGACCCAATGTAGCACTCCGTCAGTCATAACCCTGTTATCCCAGTGAGAGTCAGCACCTTCAGGACGGGAGGGGGACCCTGTACCGCAGTGAGAGTCAGCACCTTCAGGAGAGG